AAGTAACACACCACAAGAAAAAAATTACAAAAACATTTCCATTTTGAAGGACAAGTAGAAGAGTACTCTTTACAGAAGAACTTCAATACTTGATAAGAAGTGTCCTAAATTAGTAAGTGCATGAACGTCTCCAGCTTGTGGAATGCTTACAAACTCCCCAGTGATACAAGAAATTAAATGATTCAGAAATTACTGACTTTTCCTTTTGAGAAAATAATCTCTAAAAAACAGTGACCATTTTTTCACTAATAGATGAAAGTAATCATGAGATCCAATGGTTTTTTTTAATTAATTAACATTAATTAAGGTAATATTTGGATACCCCTATCAGGTATTGCAACCGTAGTATACCCACCACCAATTCACCTATAGTCCTCCAACACAGTCCACTGTATTTTGTACCCTCTTTGCTCTTGCTTTTCCTTACCCCCTCCCCATCTTGGTGCTTCAGTTCTGTATTCAGCTGTCACGGCGTAGTTTTTAAGTCCAAAAGCTTGTTTTAAAAGAAACCAGCAGGGCCTCCCCGGTGGCGCAGCGGTTGAGCGCTGGGTTGCAAAGCTGCCCGCAGCCTCTGCAGCGCCGGTTCGATCCCCGGCTGCTCCCCGGCCACCAGAGGAGGGTCCCACATGGCGCGCAGACCTCTCCTGGCGCCCGCTGCTCCCCTCAGCAGTGTACTTCGGTCCTTCTGCCTGCTCTGCTCCCCGCTCTGGCTCTGGTGAATTCTCTCACCCTCCTGCGCTTCTGACTGTACCCAGTGCTTGTATAAACAAAACAAACGAACAAATAAATAAATAAAACATGCCTCTAAAAAATAGATAAATAAATAAATAAATATACAGAATTTCTAAAAAAAAAAAGAAACCATCAACAGTGAAATGCCCCATGTTTCTCCTTCACAGGAATCCAGCTTATCAACACTCTTTCCACTCCATCCTCAAGGTCCTATTAAACTATCAAGAAAAAGATGGAAATACCTGTGATGTTTCATATTACCTGTTGTGGTTTTTATTCTGTTATTCTTTTAACATAAAAATAGAGAACAAAAAATGGAGGATGCAGAATGGCAGGTGAAAAAGCAGGGAAAGAGGGCATATTTGGAAAGAAAAGATTTGGGACAGCAGAAGCCAACACTGTGGTGATAATTAGGGAAGATGCCTAGGGTGACAAGAGGTGCCCCACCTAGACTTGCTAGAATTTCTACCCACTGGAGAAGGGCGGAGTCCTCAAAAAGCAATCCAATTAGATAGCAGCCCTGCTGGAAGATGAAGGGTAATTGAGTGTGGTGATGAAAAGATTCTCAATAAACTGGGGATGCAACAGCTTACTTCCCAGTGAAGTGAAGCCCAAGAGCTCCTCCCAGGAGATTAACAAGGTAACGGAACGACAGGAGGATTGGCAGCTTGGTGTGTTGGCCAGAAGCTTGAGATGCCTCAGAATGGCATGAAGGAGGAGGGAGAAGTTTTCTTTGCCCCAAGAGAGCCACAAAGTGGCTGAGAGAGAACCAGAATGCTAGAGGGGAACTTCACGTTCCAAGTGCAGTACGTGAACTGATGACTACAGACAGGAAGAAAACAAACACTGCAGCAGATGTCACTTTAGAGAGATGAAGACCAAGATTCACACAAGTTCTTCCCCTCCCCAAAGATACACACACACACACACACCCCCCACATAGAAAGAAGGGAAGGGGAAATCCTGAGTTAACTGAGGAAACCTGGTGTTGAAAAGATTGGCCTCAGATATCAGGTAAAGTGGGGCTCAAATTTTACATGGCTATGGGCTTGGGTTAGTGGATTGCACAAAGGGAACTCACCACACCTGCCTCACGGGACTGTTTTCATATGACAAGGTGAGACAGAGATGGGGGAGCTCCCACAAATACACCTCTCCAACAATCATATGCTTGTTGTCATTAAAACTAAGGCTTTCATTGCCCAATCACTTTCAGCTTCACTATTCACTAAGTAGCACAGCAATGTGGCCAAGTTTATTCGACTTATTTTTACTGTAAGCAAAAATACACCAAAACATTACTTTGAAATTATCATTTTTTCATTTTTCCACATATAAGTAATGTGACCCCAGCTTTTAATTCAGATGTTCCACCTGTAACATGTGCCATTACAGCTAAGGTGATAAGACACATTGATTCAAGATTTCCTTTCTATAGGAGAATACATGATTTAACAAGGCATCTTTCTCAGGAGCCACAGTCCAGACCAGTTTTGCTGCCTGTTTGTCAAATCCAATTTGATTGCACTGAGTTAAAACAAACTCAATTGACTACCTGTCTTCATCTCCTGCCGGGCCCACGAAGGACATCGATTGTTTCTCCTTTAAAGGATATTATTGGTATCAAGAAAGTAATCCTCATAAATGTATTTATAACAATAAGGATTACAACTGTGCATGTGTTGCATGCTAAGCATTCTGCATAATTACTTAATTTAAATTTGACAATTTCCCATTTTATAAACTGAAAACTGAGTCTCATAAAGATGAGGTTAAAACAAGGGCACAAAAGTAGGCAAAACACCTACTTTTGAATCCAAATTTGTCTGACTGCATTCTACTATACCACAATGCCTTGCTAATGAAAATTTTTAATTTAAAAAGTTTGTCTTTTCTCCAGAGAAAATATTTGCATTTACATCATACATTCAAAAGGCTATTATCCAAGATTTGCAAAGAATGTGTACAACTCAGCAACAACAGAAGAGTTAAACAGATACTTCTGCAAAGAAGATATACAGACCGCCAAGAGCATAGGAAAAATGCTATATCATCAGAGAAATGCAAATCAAAAGCACATAAGTTACCACCTCACACCCATGAGAAGGACCCACATGAAAAAATATTTTAAAAAGCAGAAGCAACTAGTGTTAGTGAGGGTATGGAGAAAAAGGAACACTTATACATTGTAGATTGGTCTAGCCCCTATAGACAGTGGTATGGAGGTTCCTCAAAGTATTAAAAACCGATGGACCACATGATCTAGCAACCCATTCCTAGGTATCTAACTGAAGAATACAAAGACATTAATTCAAAGGAATACAAGCCCTCTTATGTTCATTGCAGCTAATTACAAGAACCAAGTTATCATAAGGCAAGCTAGCCAAATGTCCAAAAGGTGAATGAATTAACAAGTTATGGTATATATACAGAATGGACAACTACTCAGATATAAAAAAGATAAATCTTGCCATTTGCAATAGCATGGGTATAGCAGAGGGGGTTATGCAAAGCGAAATAAACAGAAGAATAGCATATACTGGATGGTTTCACGCAAATATGGGACATAAAGAAACAATGGACTGGACAAAACAAAACAAAAACCCTAGAAATCTGACTGCAGAATTAAGGCTAAGAAAAGGGAAGGGTGATGAGAGGTGGCAGCAAAGAGAGGAGAGGGTCAAGGATCTTTGCTGAAGCCTGTAGGTGCTCTCGTGGTTGGGAACGGTGTGGTGGGTGACACACATCCGAAGAGGTGTGAATTGATTCCCCGAAATCACATACAATGTTATAAACCAAATGTTACTGCAATAAAAATTTATTCCATTTTATTTTTTCTTAAGATTTATTTATTTATACAAGCACTGGGTACCGTCAGAAGCGCGGGAGGGTGAGAGAATTCACCGAGCCAGAGCAGGGGAGCAGAGCAGGCAGAAGGACCGAAGTACACTGCTGAGGGGAGCAGCGGGCGGCAGGAGAGGTCTGCGCGCCATGTGGGACCCTCCTCCGGTGGCCGGGGATCGAACCGGCGCAGCAGAGGCTGCAGGAAGCTTCGCAGCCCAGCGCTCAACCGCTGCGCCACCAGGGGGAGCCCTATTCCACTTTTTAAACATAAAAATTTTAAGACTCAAGGTCGAGGATAATCATCTTTGTAGCAGCCCTACCAATCTCCTCTCCCACCCACTCCATCACATAGCTTTCCTCGGCCACACTCCTCTCTAGCCGTTATCCAAACCCACCCGCCACTTTCAATCCGTTACAGTGGCTGTTCCCTCTGCTTAGACAGACCTATCTTTCCTCCCCACCGAGAGAATTCCAACCCATCCTCAGTCAGACAGCGACTTTGAAGATTTTGCTTCCTCTCCCCAGTAGAACCAGCCGTCTCTCATTCCAGCTTCTGCAATATTACCTTTCCATCATAGCACATACGTATCACTTAAGATTGACATCTGTCGGGCCTCCCTGGTGGCGCAAGGGGTTAAGCACCGCACTCTGAAGCAATAGCAACCTCTGCAGCATGAGTTCGATCCCCTTCCCGCCAGGGAGCAACCCACATGGTGCAGCAGACCCCTCCTAACTCTCGCTGCTCCCCTCAGCAGTGTATGTCAGTCAGTCTGCCCGTTCTGTTCCCCACTCTATCTCCGGTGAATCCCCTCAACCCCAGCATCTCTAGCCCACACCCCAGCTCTTGTATGCATAAATAAATAAAATAATTTTTTAAAAAATTGACATCTGTCTGCTTGAACTTCTGCAACCTCTATTCGTGTCTGGGGGTACCTGTTTGCACACCTGGTAATCTAAGGCACCTAGCGCTTAGTAGGAGTTCAACCAAAGCTTGCGAGGAAAGGGATGAATTCTACTTTTTTTTAAAGAATTTATTTATTCATTCATTTATTTAATTACACAAGCACTGGGTACAGTCAGAAGCACGGGAGGACGTGAGAATTCACCAGAGTCAGAGCAGAGAGCAGAACAGGCAGATGGACGAAGTACACTGCTGAGGGGAGCAGCGGGCGGCAGGAGAGGTCTGCGCGCCATGCGGGACCCTCCTCCGGTGGCCGGGGAGCAGCCGGGGATCGAACCGGCGCCGCAGAGGCTGCGGGCAGCTTCGCAACCCAGCGCTCCACCGGGGAGGCCCTGAATTCTATTTTAAATCGCGGTCTATATTTTACATCTCCAAGACTGTGACTGGAGCAAGGTAGGTTAACACTTTGAAGGCAAGTGGCTCTTAAATAATTTTAAGGAAAACCACAAAGGGCTTCACTCACCCCAAGCAAGTTTTTCCGAAGACCTCGCTCGGGTCTCACCACAAACTCAGCACAGTCCAGATCCGCCCCGCCTCCCTCCCTGCCAATCAGCAGCTCCTTGCGCCTGCGCAGACGGCGCCCTTCCCCAGAGCCCCGCCCCAGGCGCCGGAGCAGTCGCGGGCAGTTAAGTTGGGCGAGGGCGTTTCCGTCACTGACCCGCCAACTATGACGATCACTTATAGCTGCATTGCTAACGGAAGAGCGGTCCTAGCGGAGCTGGCCCTGACCGGCGGCTCCTATCAGGTACGCCTGGATCGACGCGGCCGCCCGGGCAGGTTCCGCTTTTCAAAAGTGGCGCCCACGGGACCTGTTCCTCACGAAGCGACGTTGAGGGGCAGCCGGGAGCGGGCCGTGGAGGCGTGAGGTGCCGCCCCGCGGAGGGCCACGCTGCGCGAGAAGCCACGCCCACGCGCGAGAAGCCACGCCCACGCGCGCAGCCGAGCCTGCGGGACGGCGAATGCCGGGCTGGAGCCCCTCGCGCTGTGGACGGCGGAGCCGCAAGTGCGCCACCCGGCGGTCAGTGTTGGTGCTGCACGCAACCCATTTAGGATGATGTGCAGCCGCGTTGAATTCCCGAAGCCCTTAACAGATTTTTCTCTATCCCCGCGGAGAATTGGTGTGCAGTTTAATGCACATTTATTAAACAAGTGTTAACTGCAAAATCCCGGGAGACAGGTGTGGGGGTTGCAGCAGCCAGAAAACGCTGCCTGGAGTTTGTCCCTTGATGTCCTTTATGTCCTTTATGTCCAAGTTGTCCTGTAGTTTAAAGCGCATTTTAGTGGAGGTAGAGCGACGTTGCTTCCAAGGCACTCGACAACCACAGAGGCGGTGATGATTAGAGTTCTTAACTTAAAAGCCCTGTAAGATTCGTAGTCTGGCACAGGAAAAGGAATGGGTACTCCATGCAGAGGGAACAAACGGGGTGTGCTTGGGAAATCTGTCTAACCTCATAGTGGCTCGTATATAGTACATGTAATCACATTATATAGGGGCTGAAGGTGAAGTCATAAAAGTGAGCAGAAAATGGTTAAAGAATTGTCCTATATTCAGTTCTTATCCTAGAGAAACCAGGGAACATTTGAAGATTTATAAATAGAGGAATAGCAAAACCTAATTCATCTTCTGAAAAGTGTGGTCTGGTTACAACGTGGAAGGTGTATTAGAGAACAAGTTAGGACGGTATTGTTACTATTGTTTGTATAGATGCTGTAAAGGCCAGATGCTGGCAATGAACGGTGCAGATGGAAATGAGGGGGCAGATCTTAAATACTAAACCTTCAAAATTAGTGGCTGGCGGAATATTTGCGATAAGGGACAGGATCGTGGCTAGGATAAATCTCAATTTTTGTTCTTTTTCTTCTTTGCCCCAACTTTGTTGATGTATAACTGACATATAAATTTAAGGTGTACAACATGGTGATTTGTCAATTTTTTTCCTTAGATGGCATTTAGCAAGATAGAAACTATACACAGAAGAGCAGAAATGTAGGGGAAGGAGTTAGAGGGAAAGCAGGGGTAGAAAGTACAGTTTGAAACAGTTTGGATTTTGTTGCCTATTGGAAATGACCAGTCTGTTTGTGTACTTACTCCTGAGCTTATTCTCAAAACATTTAAGTCATAAAAATGCCCAATAGGTATAACTCAGAGAGTCATGGCGAACAGTTAAAGATAGTAGCAGTGGGCAAGATTGTATAGAAAAGCACAGAAAGTGAGGAGGGTAGTGGAGGGGAGCACAAGGTAGGACACTGTTTAAGAATAGAATACAGAGGTAGTTTCCTGAAAGACAAAAGAAGAAAATTACAAGCATGTGTCTCATGCCCCAAAGAAATTTAACAATATCTAAAAGGTGTTTATTAAACTAAACAATTAGGAGATGATATATGAGTTTACTATTAGTTGTTGGAACAAGTGGTAGAGACAAAACCCAGATTGCTTTAGGCCAAGTGAATGGGACATGAGGAAGGAGTTAGACTGCTCATTCAAGAATTTAGAGGGTCTCCCCTGGTGGCGCAGGCGGTCGAGCGTGGGACTGTGAAGCTGTCTGCAGCCTCTGCAGGGCCAGTTAGATCCCACATGGCACGGCAGACCTCTCCTGTCTGGCCTGCTGCTCCCCTCAGCAGTGTATTTAGTCAGTCTGCCTGTTCTGTTCCCCTCTCTGTCTCTGGTGAATCCTCTCACCTCCTGTGCATCTGTCCTGTACCCCGGTTCTTGTATAAAAAAAATTTAGAAAGGGGGGCCTCCCTGGTGGTTCAAGGGGTTAAGACAACCTATGAAGCTATCCTCAACCACTGCAGCACAACCACAAGTTCTATCCCCTGCCAGGGAGCTGACCCACTTGGCACAGTAGACCTCTCCTGTCTCACCCTGCTCCCCTCAGCAGTGTATTTCAGTCAATCTGCCTGTTCTGTTCCCCTCTCTGTCTCTGGTGAATCCTCTCACCCCCCATACCTCTGGCCTGTATCCCAGTTCTTATATGCATAAATAAATCAATCTTTAAAAAAAATAATTTAGGGCCTCCCCGGTGGCGCAGCGGTTGAGCGCTGGGTTGCGAAGCTGCCCGCAGCCTCTGCAGCACCAGTTCAATCCCCGGCTGCTCCCTGGCCACCGAAGGAGGGTCCCACATGGCGCGCAGACCTCTCCTGCCGCCCGCTGCTCCCCTCAGCAGTGTACTTCGGTCCTTCTGCCTGCTCTGCTCCCGGCTCTGGTGAATTCTCTCACCTTCCCGCACTTCTGACTGTACCCAGTGCTTGTATGTATAAACAAACAAACAAATAAATAAATAATAAATCTTTAAAAAAAAAATAATTTAGAAAGGGAATGATAAGGTGAAAGAAGAAACATGATCCGTTTTTTAATAGAGGAAAAGCTTTCACATATATGTAGACTAATGGGAAGGAGAAGAGATTGAAGATATAAGAGAGGAGGGGGCTATTGGCAGAGAAAGACCTAAATGAGCACAGATGATGAAATCCAATGTGGCCATAGAGAAGTGAGCCTTGCATTCCCTCTTTTGGGGAAAGGAAGGATTTGGATATAGAGATACAGAACTTAGTCTCCTTATGGGACTTTCCTCTTTGCCAATCCTTTTAAATTTGTGTTCCTCAGGAGTCTAACTTCAATCAAGTTAAAAACTTGTCACATTTATTCATATCCATGAACCCCTTTATTTTGACCACTACCAAATTTACTTCAAAAATAATCTCTAAATGCAGTTACATTGCCTAATAGAATTTAAAACTTATGTCTCAAACTAAAATATTTACCTTTCATAATAGATCCCTCCTGGTGTATTTCTAATCTTGCTGAGTAGTTCTACTGAGCTATTCAAGCTGAAATGGAGTCATCTTCAAGTTTTTTCTCTTTTTCACTTTCACATGTGTTCATTTGTCACCAGGTATTATCAGTTAGTTCTGTCTACTGAATATATCTCGAATCCTTCCCCTGTTTCTAAACATGTCTTCATCTAGACCCTCAGTTCTTCTCACCAGGATTATTGAACATGCCCACCAACTCATATCCTAGATTTCAGCCTTGTCCCTCTCAAAACCAGCATCAAATGGTTCAAATGGTTATTCCTAAAAGCAAACCTGATTGTGTTACTCCCCCACTTAAAATCATTTTGTATACATGACTGCATTCTGAATAAAACCCGTCTTCCTTAGTCTGGCATTCAAGGCTCTCCCTGATAGGGCTTTTCCATGTTTATCTCCTCTTCCCTACATATCCCTCTGCTACAGCCATCAGGAACTTCATGCTGTGCTCCAGTCTCACTAAGGTCCCCACTTTGAATCTCCTGTCCTACCTTCCTGGCACCTGCTTTCCTCCACCCTTTAGCAGTATAACCTCTTCTGAGCTTTGAGACTTTTCTCAGTTCTTCCTAGAACTGTTCTCTATGCCCAGAAATTTGTATCCCCTTTATCAAACTACTTACCAGGCTGAATTGGGATCTTCTTTACTTCTCTGTCTCTGTCATTAGACTTCTTCAGGACAGGGACTGTCTTCATCTCTGTACATAGTAGGTTTTCAGTAAACATTTTTTTCATTTATTGACAGGGAAAAAAGAAAAAAAAAAGCTCAATGGCCTCTCTTTATGAAGTATGCAGGAAGGTAAGGAAATGTAAGGGGTAGAGCAGTATACAATTGGAGGAAATAATTAAAGGTTTGGAAAGACTTCTATGCAGATAGCTGCCCAGGAAAAGAAAAAGGATGACAAAGAACTTGAAGAAACAGGGTTGTCATATCTTTCCTCAATGTTAAATACCAATGTCACAAATATTTCATATTCATTAGAAAAACATTAGGTTTTTGCCCAACTGCAGAGAGAAATTAATTTTGAAGTAGATTTAGCAGTGATCAAAATAAAGGAGTCCATGGAGGTGAATAAATGTGTCAAGTTAAAAGAGGACTAAAGTTAGGATCCTGAGGAATACAGCATTTAAGGAATTGGCAAAAAGAAAAGTCCCAGGAGGAGACTAAGTTCTATAGCTTTATATCCACAAAGCTTAATCATGAGACCAAATCAGCTGTTCTTAGGGGTCCTATTGCTAGACAGGATTCTAGAGATTATCCTTCCCAGTCCCTTCATTCTTTGAAGAAACAGACCCAGACAACTCATTTTTTTTCTTTTTCTGCCACTACCATCCTTTATATTCTCTTCAACCCTTTCTCCCTCACTCTCCCTCTTAGGTTCAGAAATCTCACTTAGTTTATTGATGACCACTAGATTTTACTTTGTTGAATTGTCTGCTATATAAATGTTCAGTATCTGTCATTTTGACTTGTCATATCCATTAATTCCCTCCATTGCTGTATCTGTCATTTTGACTTGTCATATTCCATTAATTCCCTCCATTGCTCTATTATTGACATGTCATCTTTCTTTACAGCTGGGCCGTATTCCATAGTATGGATACACAACATCTTGATCCGGTCTTTTTTTCAGTTGCCATTTAGGTTACTTCCATGTCTTCACAATTATAAATAGTACCACAATAAACATTGTAGAATATATAGTTGTTTTAGTTGAGAGTTTCACATTCTTTGAATAGATGTCAAGGAATGGGATTGCTTGGTCGTGTAGTATTTCATTTTTAGTTTTTAAAGGTAAATCCAGATAGTTTTCCATAATGGTTGCACCACTTTACACTCCCACCAACAATGTAATTAATAGGATTCCTCTTTCTGTCTTCTCCAGCACTTGTTGTTTTTTTGTTTTTAATGTGCCATCCTTAGAAGTGTGAGATAATATCTCATTGTGGTTTTAACCAGCACCACTTTTATTAAAAGCAACAATGATCATTTTTTTCATGTGTCTAGTGGTCTTCTGAATATTGTCTGGTGGTTGTTAAAATCTGCCCATTTCGGGCCTCCCTGATCGTGCAAGGGGTTAAGTCTCAGCACTGTGAAGCAATCCCCAGCCAGGGAGCTAGCCCACATGGAGCAGCAGACCTCTCCCTTCTCGCCCGGGGCTCCCCTCAGCAGTTTATTTCAGTGAGCCCCAGTGAGTCGCAGCAGTTTATTTCAGTGAGTTCTGTTCCCCACTCTATCTCAGGTGAATTCTCTCATCCCCCAACCCTGTACCTCTGGCCTACACCCCAGCTTGTGTTTGCATAAATAAATAAATCTTTGGAAAAGAAAAAGAAAAAATATTGAGTTTCACTTCTTTTCAGATTTGGATAACTTTTATTGTGTATTGTCTGATTGCTCTAGCTAAATCCTCTAATAATAAATTAAACATAGTGGTAACAATGGACATTCTTGCATTGTTCCCAATCCTAAGAGGAAAAGCTTCCAGTTTTTCATCATTGAGCAGGCATTGTATTGCCTGCTAGTTTGTGATATATGACTTTTATTATATTGAAGTAGGTGCCTTCTTCCTAGTGTCTTGTTCCCATCTTGTTCAAGTTTTTATCGTAAATAGATGTTGAATCTTATCAAATGCTTTATCTGCATCCATTGATATTATCATATATTTATCTTTACTTTTTGTGAAGTTACTTTTGTTGATATAATGTATCACATGGATTGATTTCCATATATTAACCACCCCTAGAATAAATCCCATTTGATTATGATGTATAATCCTTATGACATACTGTGCTTAACCCATTACGCCACCAGGGAGGCCCTCTATTTTCAGTCTTTTGAGAAATCTCAATTCCGCTTTCCGTAGCTGGTTAATTCCCTAGGTTGAGATGTTTTTGAGCAATTATTTCTTGAAATAAATTTTCTATTCCTTTTTCTTATTTCAAATTTTGCTATGATTTTATTGTTTATATACTCTAAAAGAGATGCTTGGAGAAAGCTAAAAGAATATGTTCAATATTGTTAATACAGTATCTGAAAGGTTATGTATTTCCTTAATTTTTTAAAATTTCTTAGGAAACCCTTTTCTAAAGAATACCATCTGGATTTTTTTAGGCAATACTAATAATTTCAAGTTTTACTTTGCATCACTTTACCCCTCCAAAAACTTTTGTTTCAAGGGTCATTTTGTGAAAATAGAAAAGTAAATTAAAGGTGTGACTACTCGATAAGTCAGATTACTCTCACACTTCTTAGGTAAATTAATGGGATTTCATATAGTTAACTATGTTTAAGGTATTCTGAATAATTGTAATGTTTTCCAATTTTCCCCCAAAGAATTGAGCCTTATAAGAAGTAGGTATAAGAGAGCTTAGCAACTATTTGCTTTATTGAAAGAGATCTGTGAATAGCAGCAAATTTTTTTAAATTATTTTAATCCAAAAATTATTTAATTAAAAAAGTAGAATACTAGTTAGACAATTCAGAGAATAAGAACTGCATATTTTCAATCCATTAACATTTTATGTATAGTTTCAGTAACCAGAAGTTATTGAAAAGATATTTGATTAGGTAGTGCATTCCCAATCTTAAAGCCATATAGAAAATGTGACTGTAAAGACGGTTTATCTCATGCTACCTATATTTGTATATAGGTCTATACACCAAGAATATGTACATTTATGTAATTTTAATATTTTCTTTCAGATTTATGTGACTATTTCATGATGACTTGCCTCTAACCATGCATTATGAATATCCATTAGTTCTCCTTGTAAACAGGTGCTTCTTAATAAACTATCAAAGCTCTGGTCAATTTAGGAGAAAATAATGAAAAACACTACAATCTTCTATAAGGTAAATACTGGCAATTTATTTTTAGGAAGCAACGGCAAGAGTGCTTAAACTAGTGCTTCTTAGAGCTGAACCAAAGACCATAATTCAAATGGGAAGGTAAGGTATGTTCTCATAAAAGTCTTATCTTTTAACAATCACCAGTTAAAAATTCAAGTGATAATGACTTGAAAAAAAATATTAGTTGTATATACTCTTTATTGAACTCTCAGAAAGAAGAACTTCTATATGTAAAAATAGAAAACCATGAATGGAAATGATAAACACCAAGTTTAAGACAGTGGTTACTCTGCAAAAGGAAGGAGAATGAAATTAAGAAAGCATACCCAGGGGCAGTAATTGTATCTGTAACAGTATAACTGGACAGTAGGTCTACAAGTGTTCTTATTATTTTATTCTCTACATTTTTTGGTATACCCAAAATATCTCATTAATAAGAGGAAATTTCTACTTGAAAATATGCTTTATAAAATGAAGAATAGTTTTGTACCATTTTAAGTAGGACATTGCATGGTATGGGCTAACCCAGTTCCGGAAAACATTTTGCTAGTAAAAGAAATAGATGGGGACTCTTTCCTTGCTTTTTTAAAGAGTAGGTTTTTTTAACCTTTATATTAAAAATAAATAAATACAGAAAATCACTTCAAGTAAATCTATGACTTTATTAAGTTTTACAAAGGGAATCCCCACCACCAACTGCCATTTAGGCCCAAAAATTAAAGCCCTGCCATCCCCACTATGTTCTTGTCCAACTCACAGCTTTTCCCTCTAGCCAAAATCAACCACCATTCCAACTTCTATAGCAGTCACTTACTCTGTTTCATCATTGCCTCAGCACTGAAATTTGTACCCTCAGAAAGAATTGCCCAATTGTGTCCATTTTTTAACTTGGTGTCTTTGGAATCTCTTTAATCTATTGTATATATCCTCCCTTTCCTTTCCTTACTATTTGTTGTTTAAAAAACACATAAAGAGTTTCCGATAATCTGTTTTTGTTGATTACATACTCAAAATGTGGATCACCTTATTCCAAGCATCTGGAAGCTTGATGCCCTCAGCAAGACACAGGTATTTTTTCATTAAATGGTGCATAAATTCTGATTATATCTTCTTTTGACATGCTGGAAGGCATTGATATTCATTGCCAGTGTCCTAGAGCTATTAATTTATTAAGTATTTGTTTTCACTTATTAGCTGGAATGATTTCAAAAACAGAAATTTTCCTCACTTTCTGCACTTACTATTTGTATATCTATAGTGTATATTCCAATTTCAATTTTTCCTCCCACCACTATCACATCTTTCCTGTTGTCCTTTTCCCTCCATCTCCCTCTTAGCCTTAGAGCCCTCAGGATATTTACTAGTGTAACTGGTTTTTGAAAGTGTTTTACCTTATCAAATTGTCTGCTATGTAACTGTCCAATGTTGCTTTTATCACTGTGACTTAATTTGCTGCACATAATTCTCTCAAATTCCCTTCTTTTTTTTTTAATGGCTGCATATAATCCTTTCTTAAGGCAATTTGATAACTCCATATGACATGTTTTTGACCCAATCATCCAGCCATTTAGGCTGCGTCCATGTCCTAACTATTGTAGATAATGCTGCCAGTCACGTTATGGAAAATACGGGCTTTTGTGTCGGTGGCTTCATATTCTTTGGCTACATGCCCAAAATGGGATTGTGGGTTCTTATGGTTCTTCCGTTTTTAGTATTTTAAGGTAAATCCAGATTGCTTTCAGTAATGGTTCTGCCAGTTTTCATTCCAACCAATAATAGGGTTCCTTTTACTCTGAATTCTCTCTAACACTTGTAGTTGAGGTCTTTTTAATATGTGTCATTTTCACAGGTATGAGATGGTATCTCATTGCGGTTTTATTTTTTTTATCAGATATGAATGTTTATTAATTTGTTCATACACTGGACCTTTGCTTCTAGTGTGTGCTAGTGTCATTCATTTTTCCCTCCAGCGTTTTTTGGTTTTGTTTTATTACAATTAATGTTGAATATCTGGAGGAGATGAGACCAGCTTCTTCATTCTGCCACCATCTCGCCAGACCTCTCTAATTTTCATCTTTTGAGAACTTCAACTGCTTATTCCACATTTCTGATGACTATCTGGCAAACATTTCAAATTTACATCTAAAACCATATAACAACTTTCCAGCTCTCAGGGCTAAAACCTTTATAACCCTTGACTTTGTCTCTTTTACATTCAAATCCAACCCATCAAAAAATCCTGTTGCCTTGCCTTCCAAATACATCCAGAATCTGATCATCTCCATTGCTACCATAGTAACAGAGCCAGCAACATCTCTTGCCTCTTACTTGCCTCTTACTTGATATACTTTCTTGCCTCTTACTTGATATAACAGAGCCACCAACATCTCTTGCCTCTTACTTACTTACTTGTTAGATTTTTTTTTCATTTGTAAGCGTTGCTCTCTTAAAATAAGTTTAATAACATTTTATAATTTTGTATATTTACATGGTTCCAGAGTCATTCCAAAACAAGTTTCCTTTAAGAAATCTGATTTTTACTCCTTTCCTTTCCACACTACTCTTTGTCCCCCTATATAAGTCACTATTTTGAATACATTTTTAGTTTGTCATTTTCTTTCTTGTTTTCCTTTTTTAAGAGAAACATAAGCTTATTTGTACTTCTTTTGTGATAGAATATGATAATAATAGATAAGTGTCAGTATCATGCACACTTTGCTCCACATTGCTTTTGTCAGCTAACGTAGGTTCTAGATATAAGATATTCAAACTTGTTAGCATTTAAAAATTATTTTTGAATGTTACTAATAACATAATAAGCATAATTTTAAATATCTCCCCCTTTCACATCCAGTGTCAAGTTACTTTAAATCACATGTGTAACTTTAGGGAGATGATAGGATTTGCAGCTCTTTTTCAGCAAACTCCTCCAATGTAGATATAAAATATTTTCCAAGTGAAAATTAAGTATATCTATCAATATCATCATTAAAAATACTTATAGTGTATTATATGCATGATATCATATGAAAGATTTATGTTGAAAGAGCTTATTCTTAACCTCTGAGATTATCTTTTCTCCCTGTTTCTGAGATTCCTCATTCTCATATATATCCACTTTATTTGAAAGTGCCTATTAACCATTTATATATAGGGTGTTCAAACTGATTAAAGTCTAGGTTCCAAGTAACTATTTTTGTTGCTGTATTCCTAAATTTTCTGGCTATTGAGCAGTAAAGATGCAGGCACTTTCCAAGAGTCTCCTAGCCTCCTAATATATGACTCTGAGACTGCACAAATGGTCTAGAAGTTGGAGTGATCAGGGTAAGGTAAGCTTTGGCATACTATAGGGGAGTTCAGTTCCCTCACCATTAATTCTGTTCTCCAGAAGGTTTGATACTGGCAATTTAAAAGTTATAACTTGTAAATTCTGACCTTCATAATAGAAAGTTAACAAGCATGAAAATTAAATGTCTACCTAAAAATGTAGGAATAGTAAAAATCAGTGAACATAGCATTTTCTATTTGATCAGAATCTTCATTTTTGTCCTAGAATGTAATTTATATTAAAGCCATTTTAAGTTTATTCTTTATTATAGTTTATTTTTATTGATATAATTTAAAATACATATTTTAAATTTACTTTTATTAACAGTTAAATGTTTTAAATATATGAAAACTTTCCTGATTATGAAAGATTATATAGCTGTTATGTTACTAATGAGAATTTGAAAACAAAGTTAAATTCTCTTTATGGGTACTTCATTTCTTTAATACTATCATATAAATGAATATATTCCTTTTAAAGCTTTGTCTACCATACTCTCTTTATTGATGGAATCACTTACCTATGTGCTACAGACAGTGCCTTGGACTCTGTAACACCACATGCATTTCTTAAAAATGTAAGTACTTTCTTCTACTTTTGAAGATTTTTCAGTTAATGAAATTATGAGGTCCCTGTATTATAGCTTATTAATAATAGAGTCACTAAGGGCCTCCATGGTGGCACAGGGTTTAAAGATTCAGCGCTATCAAGCTATCGCCAGCCAGTGTGGCATGAGTTCGATCCCTGGCCAGGATGCCAACCCACATGACTCAGCAGACCTCTCCAGTGTAGCCCACTGCTCCCCTCAGCAGTGTATTTCAGTAGATCCACCTGTTCAGCTCCCCACTCTGTCTCTGGTGAATCCTCTCACCTCCCTGCACCTCTGGCCTACACCCCAGTTCTTGTATGCATAAATAAAAACAAATCTTTAAAATAATAATAATAATAATAGAGTCACTAAGTAATAGTGCATCTCTCTTGAAAGCAGAGCCATTAATGATTCAGTGACTTCTTACTCTCAGCCCTTGTCTGTCTTCTGCTTCCATACTTCCCCTGACTCTAAAGTAAGGTCTGCAAAGACAAATACACTCAGATCTATTAGAATCTCTCCTTATATTTACTTTATTCTTGAAAAGTAAGAAAGAAATTAAACTTTACTGATATTTAACATACATTTTTAACAGTATATGTATTTAATTTATAAAAACTATATATAGGAAAGTAACTGATGGAAAATTTTTGAGACCAGTAGTCTTGATAGAAAATATCAACCACGGGCCTCCCCGGTGGTGCAGCGGTTGAGCGCTGGGTTGCGAAGCTGCCCGAAGCCTCTGCAGCGCCGGTTCGATCCCTGGCTGCTCCCCGGCCACCAGAGGAGGGTCCCACATGGTGCGCAGACCTCTCCTGCCGCCCGCTGCTCCCCTCAGCAGTGTACCTCGGTCCTTCTGCCTGCTCTGCTCCCCACTCTGGCTCTGGTGAATTCTCTCACCCTCCCGCGCTTCTGACTGTACCCAGTGCTTCTATAAATAAATAAATAAAGCTTTAAAAAATAAATTGTCAACCAATATAAAATGTAGTAAGTAGTCAAAAGTATATATGTACATAAAGTTACATAGAAACATGAAACTTTGGGCCTCCCCGGTGGCGCAGCGGTTGAGCGCTGGGTTGCGAAGCTGCCCGCAGCCTCTGCAGCGCAGGTTCAATCCCCGGCTGCTCCCCGGCCACCAGAGGAGGGTCCCACATGGCGCAGACCTCTCCTGCCGCCCGCTGCTCCCCTCAGCAGTGTACTTCGCTTCTGCTTGCTCTGCTCCTCGCTCTGGCTCTGGTGAATTCTCTCACCCTCCCGCGCTTCTGACTGTACCCAGTGCTTGTATAAAAAAGCAAACAAAAACAAACAAACAAACAAACAAATAAATAAATAAATAAATAAATAAAAAGAAACATGAAACTTTATAAATTTCCTAAAGGGTAGTTAAGCTTACTAAACTTATACATATTACCTGTTGCTGATTATTACCCTGCATTTGATCTCCTAGCAGAATAAGAAGACAATGAAAGATAGTCTCAGAGACAGATTAGGGGGAAACCTTTCTTCTGTAATATTTATGGTTCAGAAAGTATGTTTGTTCCTTATTTTAAAAAAGTTAATGGTATTCTTCAATTTTATCACAAAGATATAAATATTTCATAAAAATATTAATGGAAAAATTACTTCTACTGTAGTTACTAATAGTTATTCTTCAGTCACATTCATGAGTCATGCATATTTTCTTTGTTCATTGCACTGATTTTCTTAAGCAGCCCATGTTGACCATATATAAAATCAAGGATTCTAAAACATAATGTTAATTTACTCTACAGTTATGACTAGCCAATTGCTAGAATCTAAATCTGAAACACTGTTAACATTTATTCTGACTGATTTTTTTTCTCTCTACCATTATGATAAAAACAATCCTAGCTTTATCCACCTTTCCAGTTGACACAAAATTTCTAACCACATAGTTTTTACTGCTGCTTCTGAGGAAGACAATTAAATACACACAGTTGTCAGAATTGTCTTGAGACTTTGAAATGTCCTATAATAATTCCATGGAATTTGAAAGATAGTATCATTTAGTTAGGCATTTAGTTGGGGTTCCATCACCAGTGAGTGGATTTTGAGGTTAGGGTCAGGAGAGTAAGTGAAAAATGCTTATTTAGAAAATATGGAATTCCATCTTTCCTTGTCTGCCAGAGGTAAACATCTGTTCTTCCCTTCATGTCCTCAAATATACCAAAGAATCAAGGTAGTAGAAGCAGTCTCCCTGTATGAGGTTGTGATCTGTACTGCAGCCCTCAAGAAAAATGGGCAAGCACAGTTTTCATGAACTGTGTATCTTTAAATAAGAGGGACACCCAGCCACTAAAAAGTTCACCATGTGATGGGTTTCCATTACTTATGGTTTCTGCCAGACTTTGCTTCAAATAAACATTTGCTTTGTCAGAATTGCTTCATTTGAAATTATCTGTATCTGTTAAATTTTTCCTTTCATTTCCCTAGGTTAGCGATACTATTCTGAGAAATCCTCTGAAGTCACAAGAATATTTTTCTCCTTCAAATGCAATTGCTGCAGATTTTCAGCAAGTATTAGGAAAATATATGGTAGGTAACTTTTAGCTGTACTCCTAAACACTGTCAATTTGCAGATGACAGATCAGTGAGGAAGTATGAGTCAGGAGCTTTTATGATGAATGAGAACTGAGAACTCTGTCTCTATAATGATCAAGAATGATATCCATGATATATTGATAAGTGACTAAAACAAGGTACAAAGACTGCATGGTATAGTATTTATTTACCATTCTTATATGCGACCATTTCAGAAGGAGGTGATAAATACAAATCTCTCTTCATTTGCTTATTTTGAAAAGGAGGCAGAGAGGAAAGGAGGAATGGATAAACCAAAAACATTTTAATGTGGGAGTGGGGACAGACAGGGATAAAAACTTGACCTCTTTGAATGAAATTTGTTTTGTAAACTTGACTTGGTATACGTAAATATTTTTATAATAGTAAAACACTTAAATACTTAAATGAAGTCTCTTCTAAGTGAAATAAAACAATTTCAAGAGGACAAATAGCATATAAATTCCTAGTGTATACTCATATTTATAGAGAAAGAAAGTGGAATGATTGTTGCCAGAGCATAGGGGAAAGGTAGGAGGAAGAGTTACAATTTAATGGGTACAGAGTTTCCATTTGGGAAGATGAAAAAAGTTCTGGAAATGGTGGTGATAGGTGCACAATTATGTGACTGTACTTAATACCAATGAACTATACATTAAAGTTGTAAATGCTATGTTATGTATATGTTTTCAAATAAAATATTTTAATTAAAAAGTAATACCTGGGGCCTTCCTGGTGGTGCAGGGGGTTAAGCACCGCACTATGAAGCAATCCCCAGCCTCTGCAGCACAAATTCGATCCCCAGCCAGCCAGGGAGCAACCCATATGGCGAAGCAGATCTCTCCTGTCTCGCCCGCTGCTCCCCTCAGCAATGTTTTCGGTCGTCTGCATGTTCTGTTCCCCCACTCTGTCTCTGGTGAATCCTATTGCCCCCCTGCATCTCTGGCTTGTACCCCAGCTCTTGTATGCATAAATAAATAAATTTTTTTTAAAAAACTTTATGGTCCTACATATTAACTGAAAATTAAATATTAAGAATATTTAATTGAAAATACATCACATGATATAGTTTCCCTTTTAAAAAAATATTTCCTAGTCTATTCATTGAAAAAGCCTAGAGGGCCTCCCCAGTGGCACAGTGGTTGAGCGCTGGGTTGCGAAGTTGCCCGTGGCCTCCGAGGCGCCGGTTCGATCCCCGGCTGCTCCCCGGCCACAGGAGGAGGGTCCCACGTGGCGCGCAGACCTCTCCTGCCGCCCGCTGCTCCCCTCAGCAGTGTACTTCGGTCCTTCTGCCTGCTCTGCTCCCTGCTCTGGCTCTGGTGAATTCTCTCACCCTCCCGCGCTTCTGACTATACCCAGTGCTTGTATAAACAAAACAAACAAATAAATAAAACATGCCTCTATAAAAAAAAAAAAAAGCCTAGAAACAATTAAAAAAACCCACTATCAGTGTGCCCCTGTAGGATCTAGATTATAGCTTCTTCATATCATTTCACACTAAAAGGAATGAGGCCTGATTCTAGAAATGAGGCAGAAAGCATATAAACCACAAACAGTTTTGATACACAGGAAATAAGCCAACTAATCTCTGTGCTCATTTCAAAAGACTTGAGGAGCCAACTTTAAGAGGCTAACACTGGCCACTGATGAAAAATTTGGGCATCAAAATAAATAATTGTAGTGGACTGTAACACATCAAATATGTTCAATTCAGTGAGTTCCTAGATGCTGCCAAAAGTGGGGGAGTTTGGGAGAGAGGATGCAAAATCCTCATTAGTCTACTTTGGTAGATAATACTGATCTATCTTATTTCTCTGAAAACCAATAAATAAAAGAGGTCAAGCATTTATTGAGACTTTCCTATTTGAACTATACCTCAAAGGAATCAGTTGATGGGAGAAAATATTTTTTTTAATCTTTATAGAAGCATTCCACATAATAAAAGAAAGGGTAAGAAAATATCGCTATTTTTGCAATCCCTATTGAAATAATGGGTCCATTAATGACTGAAAAAACAGGTAAAAAGCTGATAAGAACCTTTGTAATGAATGAGACAGGCTTAGAACACTTTAACCCATTGATTATTCCTACATCACAATAAGGGAAACAATCACTTAATGTTATGAGCTCCCTGATATCATACAAGTAATACACAGCACATGTCTGAAGTGTGTTTTCCCAAAATATCAAACCTGAATCTGACTAAGCCTTTAGATCGAAATACTCTTTTACAGGAAACAAAGATATCAGTGCATACTAAACGATACCACAGCAGTGTAATCAGCAAAATCAAAACATGAGAAACTGTATAAGACAAATGACCCAATTTCTTCAACAAATAAATTTCAAAAGGGGAAAAGTTTAAAAAAAAAACTGATAGATTAAAGGCCTTTTTTAAAAAAAGATTTATTTATTTGTTTGTTTGTTTATTTATACATACAAGCACTGGGTACAGTCAGAAGCGCAGGAGGGTGAGAGAATTCACCAGAGCCAGAGCAGGGAGCAGAGCAGGCAGAAGGACCCAAGTACACTGCTGAGGGGAGCAGCGGGCGGCAGGAGAGGTCTGCGCGCCATGTGGGACCCTCCTCTGGTGGCCGGGGAGCAGCCAGCGATCGAACCAGCACTGCAGAGGCTGCAGGCAGCTTCGCAATCCAGTGCTCAACCACTGCACCACCGGGGAGGTCAACTGATAGATTAAAAACAACTTAAAAAACATCCACCAATATAAAAATGTGGATTTTGGTTAAACAAAACAACTATTAAAAAAATAAAATAAAACTATGATTTGTTTTGATAAATACACAAACTGGATATCTGATTATATTGAAGAATTTTTTAGTTGTATGATCATGGTGGTGTGCTTTTGTTTTTAAGAAAAATGAAACTATGTATTTTAGAGATATAAACTGAAGTATTTACAGATTAAAATAATAGAATGTTTGGGATTTGTGGGGTTTTTTTAAGATTTATTTTATTTATACAAGAGCTGGGGTACAGGCCAGGGGTACTGGAGAGTGAGAGGATTCACCACAGACAGAGCAGGGAGAAGAACAGGCAGACGAACCGAAAGCACTGCTGAGGGGAGCAGAGGGTGAGACAGGAGAGGTCTGCCGCGCCATGTGATATCTCCCTGGCTGGCCAGGAATGGAACCCGCACTTCAGAGGCTTCAGAGAGCTTCCCAGCGCTGTGTTCAACCTGCTGCGCCACTGGGGAGACCCTGGGTTTGTTTGTTTTTTTTTTTTGTGGGACCTTCACCAGCAGCCAGGGAACGAACCGGCGCTTCAGTGGCTGTGGGCAACCTCGCAGCCCAGCACTCAACCGCTGCACCACCAGGGGAGGCCTGGGATTTTTTTTTAAATAATACATTTGGGAAAGCAGTAGTCATCCAGTGAATCCTCACTTAATGTCAATAAAAAAAACTGTGACTGTAAGTGAAATGACATATAACTAAACCAGGTCCTCAATCAGCTCTTTGAAAAACCTTTTCATGGTGAACCAGGATTGGGTTTGTTATAACACAATGATGAACAAAATGATGTTATTCGAGGACCAGACACTAGATGATGGATACACTGACGTTTGTTACACTGTTCATTCTGCTTTTGTATATGTTTGAGCTTTTCCATAATAAAATATTTTAAGTTTACCTATATTTGTTTTCTAATTATATGTAACAAATCACCACAAAATCAGTGGCGGAAAAACCCCACACCCTTGTTATCTTACAGTTGCTATGAATCAGGAATCCAGGCCCTGCTTAACCAGGTTCTCTGCTCAAGAACTCACAATGCTGCAGTTATTGTGGCAGCCTGGCTGTGTTTTCCAATCCAGGTTCTGGGAAGGAATCTGCTTTCAGGCATATTCAGGAATTCACTTCCTTATAGCTGTGTAAGGAATGCAGTGTGTGAGGGATGCAGCTTTTTATTGACTTTTGGCTGAAGGCCACCCTCAAGTCCCAGAGACCGACAGCAGTTCCTTGCCATGTGGGTGGCCCCAACACAGCTCATTGCTTCCTCTAGGCCAGGGCATTAATCTCTTTCACTCCAGTTTGCTAAATGTGATGTAATGTGACATAACCACAGAATTAATATCTTATCACCTTAGCTTCTTTTAGTTAGAAGCAAGGCACAATCAAGGGGAGGGGATTTTTACAAGGACATGATGGACTGCGGGTTACCATAAAGTATGTCACCACAGTTTCTGACAAAACAACTAAAGATAGATGCTTTTATGTTATATTGTTATACATTTTCTTAGGAAGAATTCTCATATTCAACACAACCAACATGTACTAGCCTATCTCCTTGAAAGAGTTACCATGTGAAAATATGTACATTTTAAGTAGTTAACAGCACATCTGACATCAAAGCAGTTTTGTTCAATATTTATAAATTAACCTGGTTAAATGTAGAAAAAAATTGTTGCATCTTGTGTACTATAATTATCAGAATATGCAGAGCAAAAAATAGTCAATTTTAGAGATTTTAAAATAGATGAAATGTCATTGAATGAACTACAGGTATATTATTTAAAGATATATTATTTTAACAAAAACTTAAATGTTTCTCTTAGATTAAAAACATTAACCATCCAAAAGAGAGAAAAGAACAAAAAGATTAGCCATTCATCTTAATAACATCTGCAAAAACCCTATTTCTGAATACGTTTCACATTGGAGTTAGGACTTGAACATATCTTTTTGTGAGTAGAACATAATTCTGCTCACAACCCCTTTTTTTCTATATCCACCCAATGAACTTCTCACAGAGTATCAATTGTAAGTTACATGGTCCTGTAACCAACAAGATCAAAGTTATTATGCTTAATATATATTTGATCACTTGCCAAAGAGAAGTTTTTAATGTCATTTTTATTTTAAAATTAAATACGCATTAATGAAGATAACACAAAGTAAGTAAAGTAAAATATGAGTATCTATTACATGCTCAATCAAATGCCCTTAAACAATATTAACAGTTTAGTATATAACCTTCCAGAATTTAGAATTTATATGTATGTTATATATACAGTATATATGTGTTTGTAATATATATGTGACATAAGTTTATACATACATTTTAAAATCACAAAAGTGGGATCATTAATATAATGGCTGAAGACTTAATCTCTGGAGCATGAGTATAAATCCTTGTTTTGCCTCCTGTTCTGTAACATCAGGCAATTTATCAACTTCTCAGTCTCATCTTTCTTATTTAGAAAATGAAAGATGCAATGAATACTATTTTATATGGTGATTTGAAAATTAAATAAGCTGATACAGGGCTTCTCTGGTGGCACAAGGGGTTAAGTCTCAGCACTATGGAGCTATCCACGATCCCCCACCAAGGAGCTACCCACATGGCACAGCAGACCTCTCCAGTCTCACCTGCTGCTCCCCTCAGCAGTGTATTTCCGCCAATCTGCCTGTTCTGTTCCCAATTCTGTCTCTGGTGAATTCCTCTCACCCCTCACACACACACACCTCTGGCCTGTACTCCAGTTCTTGTATGCATAAATAAATAAATCTTTAAAAAAAAATAAACTAATACAGGTTAAGTACTTAAAACAGTGCCTAGTACATAGTATGTCTTCAGTAAGTTATTTAATATCATTCTGCAACTGCAGCTTACTTTTTAAATATTACACTACATCTTTCAGATCATCTTTGTTAGTATGGATCTATAGCTATCAATTTTTTAACCACTGCATACTATCATGATTTAACAATTTTCATGTGAATTGACATTTAAATTGTATCTAGTTTTCCACTATCAAAATAGTATGATGAGTAGCTTTGTCTACACACACTTATGCAGATACACATACACACACACACACACACACACACACTTCTGTGAATCTGTAAGAAAATTACTAAAAGTGAAATTTCAGGTCCAAAATTATATGGATATTTTTATTTTAATCAAAACTAATGGTTATTTAAGTCTCCATTTCTCTGACTCTTAAGTATAAGAATTCTTAAGTATATTAAACAGCTTTTCATATATATAGTTATTTATACTTCTTTTGACAATTTTTTTAAAGATTTTATTTATTTATGCATACGAGAGCTGGGGTACAGGCCAGAGATGCGGGTGGTGAGAGGATTCACCAGAGACAGAGTGGGGAGCAGAACAGGCAGATTGATATACACTGCTGAGGGGAGCAGCGGGCAAGACAGGAGTGGTCTCCTTTGCCATGTGGGTTGCTCTCTGGCCAACTGGGGATGGAATTCATGTTGCAGAGACTACGGATTGCTTCATAGTGTGGTTAACCCCTTGTGCCACCAGGGAGGCCCTTAACAATTGTTTCTTTAGGTACTTTCCTTTTATTTAGTGGATGGTTAGTTTTTTCTAATTATATACCAAAAGTCATTCTATATTGAATACTAACATTTTGTGTTCTGTATTTTGCAAAAGTTTTCTCCCAGGTTTTCATTTGTCTTTTTTTACTAACATCTTTCACACAGATTTTGTTGTTTTTTTTTTTACTATTCAAAATTTTACATCTGCATTTTCTGGATATGATGGCATAGTTTCAAAGATCTCCACTTTTACTATTTAAAAGATTCTATTCTTACTATAAAAATATTCTAATTTCTTCAGTCAGCTTTTTGTTTTGTGCCTTTATGAAAATTATTATATCTGATCTAATTGGAATTTACTTCTGTGTATGGCATGAGGTAGGGTTCAGACATTCTTTTATCCCAAATAGATATTTAATTATTCTAATATGATTTATTAAGCAATTTCCCCCAGTTTTATCATGCATCGGGTTCAATTTTTTGGATTTACATGTATGTTCTTGTAACTATGTAAACTGGACTTTGGGATAATGATGCACTGATGTGGGAATATCCATTTAAAAATACCTATCTAGGGCCTCCCCGGTGGCGCAGCGGTTGAGTGCTGGGTTGCGAAGCTGCCCGCAGCCTCTGCAGCACGGGTTTGATCCCTGGCCGCCTGGGGGAGGATCCCACATGGCACACAGACCTCTCCTGCTGCCCGCTGCTCCCCTCCGCAGTGTATCTTGTTCTGTTCTGCTCCCCGCTCTGGCTCTGGTGAATTCTCTCACCCTCCCGCGCTTCTCACTCTACCCAGTGCTTGTATAAATAAATAAATAAATAAATAAATAAATAAATAAATAATAATATATAAAAAAAATACCTATCTAGTATAGGACATTGACAGTGAAGGAAACTGCATTTGGAAGACAGAAGGGGTCCATGGGTACTCCACTTTCCTTTCAATTTTACTTTGAGCCTATAACTGCTCTATAAAAAGTCTGTGTAAATAATTTTTAAAAGCACTCCCACTGCTGATTGAATACATTGATGTGACCCTCCTTTGTCCCCCCCCCTTTTTTTTTTTTCAAAATTAAGGTGGAACAAATTGAGGCTTAATTGATTCTTTATGCTGAATATAAGTGATATGTGCCTTTAATACTTCTGTTCTAATTTGCACAATGTTACAATAGATTTCATTTACAGAAAATAAAATTTGTGCTGTATTTCACTTATATATATAGATGATATACAATAAAAATCAAGATGGCAACTCAGTATGCACACTGAAAAGTCAAATAACTGATGTAAAAAACATTATGAGTGAAAATATTGACAAAATTTTGGAGAGTGAAGAAAGATTGAATAACTTCACTGATAGAACAGATGATGTCACAACAATGGTAAGTGATTAACACTTGTCATGACAGCCAGATAGTGCTGTAAGTTATAGGATTTATTGCCCTTGAGACTAATTGCTAAAAGCGGGGCCTCTCAGATGGCACAAGGGGTTAAGCGTCAGCTCTATGAGGCAATCCAGTTACTGCAGTAAAAATTTGATCCCGGCCAGGGGGGTGACCCACATGGCACAGCAGACCTCTCCTGACTCACCCGCTGCTCCCCTCAGCAGTGTGTTTCAGTCACTCCATCTGTTCCGTTCCCCACTCTGCCTCTGGTGAATCCTCTCAACAACACCCCCCCCTCCCGCCGCGACTCTGGCCTGTATCCCAGTTCTTGTATGCATAAATAAATAAATCTTTAAAAAAATGAAATTATGTAACATCTAGGATTTGTTTTGGATTAGTTCAAAAGTGAGAGAGTAGGATGAATTATAAGTGAAACAAAATTGGCCATAAATTGATAACTATTAAAACTGAATATTAAGTTTATAAGGATTCATTTAACCATTCCCTCAACATTTGTTATATACAGAATTCCCTATCAGGATAACAAGGTATTAAAAATTGTTTTAAGTTAAATTTAAAATAGTTTTAAAGCAATCATTTGGTCAATAGTTATTATCTTGACTAATCTTTTCTAGAAGCACAGCCAACATGTGCAGCAAAGTATACTCACGCATATTCTTTACACACCAAACTCTATTGATTTTATTTCTTATTTTTTATTTTATTTTTTTAATTTAATTTAATTTTTTTTAAAATAAGAAATTTTATTTTTATATTCCGCATACAATTGCAACCCCCCCTTTCTGATCCCAATCCCTCCCCTCCCGCCCCCACCCCCCCAAAAGTGTCTCTGTTTCATAGTTTTTTGTTGATTCTTATTTTCACTTTCTTATAGTTATTCATTTTCCTGGTCCCTTATTTAAGTTTTCTAGATTCCTGCTATGAGTGAGACCATCCGGTATTTTTCTTTTTCTTTTTGGCTTATTTCGCTGAGCATGATCCCTTCCAGCGCCATCCATGTTGCTGCAAATTGCATGTGCTTATCTTTTTTGAATGCTGAGTAATATTCCATGGTATATATGTACCACATCTTCTTGATCCAGTCATCTATTTTTGGGCATTTGGGTTGTTTCCAAAGCTTAGCTATTGTAAACAGTGCTGCTATAAACATAGGGGTGCAGGTGTTCTTTGGAATTGATGTTTCTGTGTCCTTTGGGTAGATACCTAGGAGTGGAATTGCTGGATCCTATGGAAGCTCTATGTTTAGTAGGTCCAGAAATCTCCACACAGCTCTCCATAGTGGTTGGACCAGTTTGCACTCCCACCAACAGTGCAGAAGAGTTCCTTTTTCTCCACACCCTCGCCAACATTTGTTGTTGCTAGTTTTTTTAATATGTGCCATTCTCACTGGTGTAAGATGGTATCTCATGGTAGTTTTGATTTGCATTTCCCTGATGACAAGTGATGTTGAACATTTTTTCATATGCCTGTTGGCCATTTGCATTTCCTCTTCAGAGAAGTTTCTTTTTAGCTCTTCTGCCCATTTTTTAACTGGATTATTTTCTTTGTTGTTATTAAGTCTCATCAGCTCTTTGCAGATTTTTGTGATCAGTCCTTTATCATTAGTGTTGGGTGCAAAAATGTTCTCCCAGTTGGTGGGGTTTCTCTTTGTTTTTGTTATTGTCTGTTTTGCTGTGCAGAAGCTCTTTAATTTGATGTAGTCCCAGCTGTTTATCTTTGCCTTCACTATCACTGCTTTGGGTGATGTGTCTGTAAAGATGTCTTTGATGTGCAAATCACGTAGTGTTTCGCCTATATTTCCTTCTATATATTTTATGGTTTCAGCTCTTATGTCTAGTTCTTTAATCCATTTTGAGTTGATTTTTGTGTATGGTGTGAGGTAGTGGTCAAGCTTCATTCTTTTGCATGTAGCGACCCAGTTTTCCCAGCACCATTATTGAACAAACTTTCTTTGCTCCAATGCGTAGTCTTTGCTCCTTTGTCAAATATTAGTTGACCATAAATCTGTGGGTTTATTTCTGGATTTTCTATTCGATTCCATTGGTCTGTATGTCTGTTCTGTTCCAATACCATGCAGTTTTGATGATTATGGCTTTGTAGTATAGTTTGAAGTCTGGGAGTGTGATGCCTCCATTCCCTTCTCTTTTTTTCAGGAGAGCTTTGGCTATTCGGGGTTTTTGGTGATTCCATATGAATTTCATCAATAATTGTTCTATTTCTTTGAAGAATGACATTGAAATTTTTATTGGAATAGCATTGAATCTGTATATTGCTTTTGGTAGGATGGCCATTTTAATAATGTTTATTCTTCCAATCCATGAGCAGGAGATGTCTTTCCATTTCTTTGTGTCTTCTTCTATTTCTTTTAACAGTGTTTTATAGTTTTCTTTGTATAGGTCCTTTACCTCTTTTGTTAGATTTATTCCCAAATATTTGATTTTTTTTTTGTTTCAATTATAAAAGGGATTTTTTTTTTATTTCTTCTTCTTCAGGTTTATTGTTTGTGTATAGGAAGGCTACTGACTTTTGCGTGTTGATTTTGTATCCTGCCACTTTACTGAACTGATTGATGAGTTGAATTAGTTTTTCTGTGGCGTTTTTGGGGTTTTCTACGTATATTATCATATCATCTGCAAATAGTGATAGTTTGACTTCTTCTATTCCTATTTGGATTCCTTGGATGTCTTTCTCTTGTCTTATTGCTCTGGCTAGGACTTCCAGTATTATATTGAAAAGCAGTGGTGAGAGTGGACATCCTTGTCTTGTTCCAGATCTTAATGGAATTGCTTTCAGCTTTTCACCATTGAGAATGATACTGGCTGTTGGCTTGTCATAGATGGCCTTTATGATGTTGAGGTATGTTCCTTGTATCCCAAGAATTTCAAGGGCTTTTATCATGAATGGGTGTTGCACTTTGTCGAAAGCTTTCTCAGCATCTATTGATATTATCATATGGTTTTTATATTTCTTTTTGTTGATGTGTTGGATAACGTTGATTGATTTTCGGATGTTGAACCATCCTTGTGTCCCTGGAATGAATCCTACTTGGTCATGGTGAATTATCTTATGGATACGTTGTTGGATTCTGATAGCTAAAATTTTATTGAGGATTTTTGCATCAGTGTTCATTAGGGAGATTGGCCTGTAGTTTTCCTTTTTTGTGTTGTCCTTGTTCAGTTTTGGTATTAGTGTAATGTTGGCTTCATAGAACGTGTTTGGTATTGTCCCTTCCTTCTCAATTTTTTGGAAGAGTTTGTGAAGGATAGGCACTAATTCATCTCTGAATGTTTGGTAGAATTCATTTGTAAATCCATCAGGTACTGGGCTTTTGTTTTTGGGGAGGTTTTTGATTACCATTTCAATTTCGCTAATTGTAATTGGTCTGTTTAGGTGTTCTATTTCTTCTTTATCTAGCTTTGGGTGATTGTTGAGTTGTAGGAATTTGTCCATCTCCTCTAGATTGTTGAACTTGTTTCCATATAACTGTTCATAGTAGTTACTGATTATTCTTTTGATTTCTGCTGTGTTTGTTGTGATTTCTCCTCTTTCATTTGTGATCCTGTTTATTTGTGCTTTCTCCCTTTTTTCCTTTGTGAGCCTGGCTAGGGGTTTGTCTATTTTATTGATTTTTTCAAAGAACCAGCTCTTGGTTTCATTGATCTTTTGGATTGTATTTTTAGTTTCAATTTCATTTATTTCTGCTTTGGTTTTTATTATTTCTTTTCTTCTACTGGTTTTGGGGTTTTTTTGTTGTTCTTTTTCTAGATCTTTGAGCTTTGAGATTAGGTTGTTTCTTTGAGTTCTTTCTTGTTTCTTGATGTGAGCTTCTATTGCTATATATTTTCCTCTTATTACTGTTTTTGCTGCATCCCATACATTTAGGATATTGGTGTCCTCCTTGTCATTCAATTCAAAGAATTTTTTAATTTCTTCTTTGATCTCATTAGTCCAGTGGTCTTCCAGTAGTGTGGTTTTTAATCTCCATGAGGTAGGAAAGTTCCTTGCCTTCCTTTTATAATTTATTTCTAGTTTGATGCCTTCATGGTCAGAAAAGATGGTTGGTATGATTTCAATCTTTGTGTATCTGTTGATGTTTGTCTTGTGCCCCAGTATGTGATCGATCCTGGAGAATGATCCGTGTGCACTTGAGAAAAATGTGTACTCCGTTTTTTGGGGGTTTAGTGTTCTATAGATGTCTGTTAAGCCCAAATGCTCTAGGTCCTTATTTAGAGCTTTAGTTTCTTTACTTATTTTTTGTCTTGTTGATCTATCCATTGTTGATAGTGGTGTGTTGAAGTCTCCCACTACGTATGTGTTTTCTCTGATGTCTGTTTTCAGAGAGGACAACAGTTGTCTGATATATTTTGGTGCTCCTTCGTTTGGTGAGTATATGTTAATGAGTGTTATTTCTTCTTGAAGTATTGTCCCCTTGATCATAATGTAATGACCATTGGGGTCTCTTTATTTTTTTGAGTTTGAAGTCTGTTTTATCTGATATAAGTATAGCTGTTCCTGCTTTCTTTTTTGGTCCATTTGCTTGTAGGATTGTTTTCCATCCTTTAACTTTGAGCCTATTTTTATCTTTTGTAGCTAAATGTGTTTCCTGGAGACAGAAAAGGTTGGGCTTTGTTTCTTAATCCAGGCTGCAACTCTGTGTCTTTTTATTGAAGAGTTTAGTCCATTTACATTTAGAGTTAATATTGATATGTTAGCATCTGTATTTGCCATTGTGTTTGTCTTTCCTTTGATTTTATTTATTTATTCTTTTAATAACTTTTTTTTTTTTGGCCTTCTTTCGTTGTTATTCGTCCCTCTGAGGTTCTGGCTTTAGGATTCCTTGTAGTATTTTTTGGAGTGGGGGTTTAGTCTTAATGAAATTCCAGAGTTTCTGTTTGTCTGGGAAGGTCCTTATTCTTTCTTCATAGAGGAAGGAGAGCTTTGCGGGATAGAGTATTCTTGGTTGGCATCTGTTTTCT